AAACAGCAGCAACAAAACCCTGCAAAATTTAAAAGCAAATTAATGCTTTATAGATCCTGAGTAAAATAATTTTCATTGAAGCACAAAAAATTAAAACATTCTTTTTTTAATTTTTGTAATTCTTTACTGTGAAATAACTTAGGAGGTATGTTTGAAGTAAACTGATAACTAATCAAGGAATTATAATTTGGGTTATAAAACTCTTACTTTGAAAAATTGGGTTTTTGTTTTGGTTTTTCTTTAGACAAGGTTTCTCTGTGTAGCCTTGGCTGTCTTCAAATTCAGAGATTTGCCTGCTTCTGCCTCCTGAGTGCTGGGATTAAAGGAGTGAGTCACCATTAATTTTACAATATTTGTGTGTGTGTGTGTGTGTGTGTGTGTGTACAGCTACAACTTGTGGGAGTTGGTTCTCTCTTTCCACAATGTGGGTCCCAGGAATCAAACTCAGGTTGTAGGTAGCTGTATTAGTAAGGGTTCTCTAGAGGAACGGAAGTAATAGAATGAATCTATATCAAATGAATCTATATTGAAAGGCCATTTATTTGAGTGGCTTACAAGCTGTGGTCCAACTAGTCCAACAACTGCTGTCTCCTGACAGAAAGGCCAAGACTCTGTAGTCGTTCACTTCACAAGGCTCAGGTCTCAGGTGGGCTTCAGTCCAAGTAGGTTCTAATACCATTGAGGGAATGTCTTGACAGCAGGACAGATCTCCCAGCAAGAGAATAGGCAGGCAGGCTAAAAGCAGGGTTTTTCTTTTATGTAGGCTGTCACCAGAAGGTGTGGCCCAGATTTAGGGTGGGTCTTCCCACCTCAAATGAGCCAGTCAAGAAAAATCCCCCACAGGTGTGCCCAGTTGCTTGGGTTTTAGTTGATTCCAGATGTGATCAAGTTGACAACCCAGATTAGCATCCCAGTGGGACAGCGTTTATCTACTGAGCCATCTTACCAAACCATGACACTCTTGCTTTAATGGAAATTCCTAGGCTGAAGAGATGCTCCAGTGGTTAAGAATATTTGCTGCTCTTGCAGAAGACCTGGGGTCCAGTTCCCAGCACCCCCCATAACTCTAGTTTGGGGGGATCTAACACCTCCATCTAACCTCTGGAGGGCAGCAGGCACACGTGCTGCACATATATACAGGCAGATAAAACATTTATACACATTAAATAGAGATAAGTCTTTAAAAAGAACAAACACTTAAACAATGTGTGTGTGAGAGATCATATACCATACACAGAGTTCAGGCACAATGGACCACACTCACCAAATAGGAAATAGAGGGGACAGTTCAAATGCCAAATTCTCAGGTGCCTGCCATGGGCCAATCTCACAAGCAAACCCTGCAAAGGCAGAAGCTTTGGATCTGCTCTGTTAACTCTTGCACAGAAGTGATTGCTAAGTGTTTCTAAGTGCTTTTCAAAATAAGTAGTTTTATGGACTTTAAATTATACCTTTAAATTATACGATTCAAGCAATTATGACAAGAAACAAAACTAACAAGGTTACAATTAAGGAATTTGAAAGTCTTGTTTTGTATTGATTTGGTTACCGGCAATCAAAGCCAGGGCCTTTTTCATGATAAGCAAGCGTTCTGCCAAACACACACACTCTACCACTGACCTATATCCAGGGCTCCCATAATGTTCTTTTAAATGTTATTTGTTTGTTTTTATGTTTATCGAGTGTGTCTGTGTCCATCATCTTACCTACCTTCCATGTTTCTGTGACTAATGAACTAATGAATAGAAACAGGTTGAGCTCGAAGTGCACTTTTCAGTTTGCGGAAAATGAGAAAGAAAGCTACTGCTGTTAAAGATGAAGGACATCCTAAGAATCACCCAGTTTAGGAACTGGCGAGATGGTTCAGTCATTAAGGGGGGAACTGCTCTTCCAGAAGACCTGGGTTTGATTACCAGCAACCATATAGTGGCTCATAAGCACCTAAAACTCTAGCCCTAAGGGTTCTGACGCCGCCTTCTGGCCTCCACGAGCGCACCATCCAAGTGGTGCATAGATATGTATGCAGGCGAAACACTCACACATATTAAATAAGATAACGTTAAGAAATGACCCAGTTCAGGCTGGCAAGATTAACATGTGGGCAGAGACTCTTGCTACCATGCCTGACAACCTGAGCCCAGAACCCACATGGTAAAGGGAACCAGCTCCCACAAGTTCTGACTTCCTTCTTCCCTCTCTACTTCTCTAAACAAATGTAAACATGATTTTTTGGGGGGGAGGGTTAAGGTTTATTTATTTTTACTTCATTAGTGCATTAGTGTTTTCCTTTGTGTAGATCTGTGTACCATTAGCATGCAGTGCCCATGGAGAACAGAAGAGGATATCAGAACCCCTGGAACTGGAGTTACAGACAGTTGTAAGCATCATGTGGGTGCTGGAACTTGAACCTGGGTCCTCCAGAACAGCAGCCAGTGTTCTTAACCGCTAAGCCATCTCTCCAGCCCTTCTTAGGCTGCTTTTTATTCATGTCTTTTTATTGACCTTCCTAACACCCAATTATTGTTCTGCGTTTTGGGTTTTGGGATTTTACAAGAGAGAACCAGCATGTGGATTGACCTGTCAATCATACTTAGTAATGGCACACATTGTCAACTCCAGCACTTGGGAAGCAGAAGCAAGTGGAGCTCTGCTTGGTATCCTTCAGGAGTTCCAGGAAAGCCAGAGCTTTGTGAGATCCTGTCTCCACCAAAGCGGGCAAGGCAGGGAGGGGAGTTTCAGTTCACAAAGACCCATGCAGTCAAGCCTGACGACCTGTCCATCTCCAGCACCCACATGGTGGAGGGAGAGAACTGACTCCTGAAGGTGTCCAGTGACCTCCACATGCCCACAATAGCACACAACTAAAAAGAAAATAAAGCGAGGGTTTGAACAGATGGCTCAGCTGTTCCAAGCACTGGATGCTCGTCCAGAGGACTCCTGTTTGGTTCCCTGCACTCATGTGGTAGTCCACAAGATTCCAGTTCTAAAGGAATGCCCTCTTTGGACCTCTGTAAGTAGCAGGCACATACATGGTGTACAGAACATATATGCAGGCAAACACTCATACACATAAAATAGTTTTTAAAAAGCAAGTAATAAGGGATAAAAATTTATTTATATGTACCACTCAAACTCATATTCTCACACATACACCTTTTTCCTTTTGAGTCAGGATCCTGATATGTTGTACCAGAATTCCTAGAGCATCTAATTTTCTTTTCACTTAAAGATCTTATTTGTATTATTTATGTGTGTGTGTGTGTGTGTGTGTGTGTGTGTGTGTGTGTTTGCATGCAAGTGCACATGGAGGCCAGAAGAGGGCTTTTCTAATCCCCTGAAGCTGGAGTTATGAGCAGTTGTAAACTGACAGACATGGGTAATGAGAACCCAACTCTTGTCTTCTAAAAGAGCAGCTACCACTCAGCCATCTGTCCGGACACTGGGCTGTTTCTGAGTAGCATGGACTGCAGGTGCATGCCACCATGTCCAGTTTATACTCTCTCCTTAGCCAGAAGTCAGGTTGGCATTAGATCTTCCAGAACCTGTTCACCTTGCAGGTAAGTGATAAAAATCAAGTTTGAGAACGTACAAGGTCAAAGACCAGTTCACTCTGCCTTTCAGCATCTCCCACCAGCAGGCACCTGTGTAGGTCACCCTGGCTCTTATCCTGACCAGGAAATATTCTCTTTCATTTTTCAGAAAGTTGGATGGACAACCCCCGCCCCCCCCTTCAGTGCTAACGTCTCTTCACACATTCCTGGGAGAAAAGAAGCTGGCTTTTATCGTTAATCCATTCAGTGCCTAGCCCTGAGCAAAACGCTTCCTATGTGAGCTCATTAAATCTTCGCTTGTTTTGGATAATCAAATAGGCTATGAGCACTGGAGCTTTTTTCCTCAAGACTACACAGTAAGTAACTGTAAAGGACGAAACTCAGGTCTGACTAAAATGTCTCCTTCCCACCATCCCTTGTTGTTGTAACAGAAGCTGGTTGGCCTCCTTAATCCTGGGGTTATATCCTTCACACACACCCCCATCCCAGCTCCAAGCAGAGTTGGTATGTCTTCTGACACATCTTTCTCTGCTGAAGCAATCCTGAATTTAGTTCTCAGCCCACTAACAGTTCACTGCCCATTCCTGCCACTGCACCTTCTCGAAACACACCACCTTTTGATGCAGTCTGATGCTACCATCTCTTAAATACGCAGTCGATGTGCAGATCAGAAAACACGTTCAGACACAGTGCTGCTCTCTATCTGTCCTCCCCCACAATCCGATGAGGAGGGCAAAAAGCGGGGCGCGGCGGGGGGAGGACTATCCCATTTTAAGAGAAAGACACCTCTCCAAGGTCACGGAATGAAAAGTGGGAAATTCAGGACCGAAGGCCCAGGCTGGACCCTGGTCCCTGGCTCATCTCGCCACGCCTCGCAGGCGCTCACGGTCCAGCCCCAGCCTCCGCCGCGGATGTCACCGCCGCAGTCCGCCCGCCCACAGCTCACCAGCCTCCCAGTCCCACCGGCCCCGGACCTCCCTCCGCGCTGCCGACCGCTCGGCTCCTGTCTCCACCGGACCCCTCTCCCCGCCTCGCTGCCCGCCCTCCGAAGGAGCCCCCTCTGGTCGCAAGTGGCCTTCTCAGACCCCAGCAGCGTCCCGCCGCTCCACCACCTCCTCCTCCTGTCTGCCCGCGGCGTTACCTTCTCCAGGGACGCAGGTCTCTGCACAGCCAGGGAACGGGCCAGTGAAAGCACTGTGTTGAAATAAAAGCCTCGGGAGGTGCTGGAGCCAGAGCCGGACCCCGAGCCGCCGCCGCCGCCGCCTCCCCGGGCCCCAGCAGCCGCCATCACAGCGCGCGCCCCGGCGCAGGCGGCTGCGTTCGCAACTCCGGGCCTGCCACCGCCGGACCTCAGCGCGCAGGCGCAGAGGCACCCGGCTTCCCGGCCACGTGACCGCCGGGTCGGCTGCACCCGGGGCGGCGCCCGGCGAGCTCCCCTCCGCCGCTCGCTGCGGTGGTTGGCTCCGGAGGCGGGGCTGCCGGCGCAGAACTGGCGGAAGCTGCGCTCGCGGCGGCCCCCGGTGAGTCCGCCCGCCGGCCCTGGGCTACCGACTCCTGGCCCGGTCGCCCGTCCTGCTTCCCAGGTCCCGGCCGTCGCAGGCACCATGTCCGGCTACCCCAAAAGCTACAATCCTTTCGACGACGACGTGGAGGACGAGGACACCCGGTCGCCGCCGTGGAAGGACGCCCGCGACCCTCCCGACGGGCCCGACGCGCCCATGGACCGTCAGCAGTACCTGCGACAGGAGGTGCTGCGCAGGGCCGAGGCCACGGCCGCCAGCAGCAGCAGGTCCTTGTCCCTCATGTATGAATCGGAGAAGGTCGGAGTCGCCTCTTGCGAGGTGAGCCTGGGGCAGAACTGAGCTGAACTGCTGGCCAGCCCTTGCCTTAGAAAACGTGAGGAGGGAATGTTTTGTTGACGGCCTTGGGGGATTTTTCTAAGAGGGTGTTTACCTGTTATTCTGCACGGTTGATTCCTCCCCCGCTCTCCTGCCTACGTGTCTAGTTAAAAGGTAAACGTCAAACAAATTATGTTCTGTCTGAGGGTCAGAACTGAGTAAAACGGCCCAAATGCGGGCCTGTGTTAGGGCAATAGTGTCTGTTTCGTTTGTATGTAACTTCTTGGGTAGAAGTCTTCGGCTGTTCCCCTCTAGTGACCCAGTTAAGACGTAGACTGTGTATGCCCGGGTGCCAGGTCATGCCTGAAGCTCTAGGGCAAAGGAAGCCTTGCGTTCTTCTCACATCCTTGACCACTTTTCGCCTTATTAATGGGAATGTTTGAGTCCTTTGCCTGGACTCCTCCTGCTCAGGAAGCCAGATCTTGAATTGTATCTAGCCCCTTATTAGAGATAATGTGTTGATGTGACAAGCTGTTGTTCCCGTCCGCTCTTTCCGCCCATAGAAAATTTCAGGAACTGCCGGGGGCGGCGGGGGCGCACGCCTTTGATCCCAGAGTTAGAGGCCAGCCTGGTCTACAGATCGAGATCCAGGACAGGCACCAAAACAGAGAAACCTTGTCTCAAAAAAACAACAACAACAACAAAAAAAAAAAAAAGAAAGAAAAAAGAAAAAGAAAAAAAGAAAAGAAAAGAAAGAAAAAAGAAAAGAAGAAAAAGAAAATTTCAGGAATTAGGAATTTTGCTTTGTCTTTCTTTAATATAAGTGTCTGTGTGTATGCCCACGTGTGGAGGTGTTTCCTGAAGCCAGAAGAGGGCACCAGGGGATCCCTTGGAGCTGGAGTTAATAGTTGTAAGTTGCCCAGTGGGAACTGAGCTGGTCTTCTGAAATCTCTTAAGACCTTTTCTGGGGGGAGGTTTGGTTTGGTGGGCAGTCTGCCTATGAAGCCCAGGCTGGCCTGGGACTTAGAATCCTCTGCCTCGATCTCTCTAGTGCTGGGATTGCAGGATGCACAATCATGGAATAAGGATTATTCCAAGATGCCAGGTTGTCCCCTAAATCTGCTAATAAAACAGTTGTTTGGGCAGAAGAAAATTAAGAAATTACTGATACATCAGCTAAAAATAATCTTAAGCGTTTTGCAGTTTTGAAAAGCAATATAGTTGAAACAAAACGTTGTCTTCCACTCCCAGCCTTCCTCCTCTGACCACAGGGACGTGGGCAGATCTGCGGGGTATTGATTACTTCCTCATACCGTCATAGCTACTGTTTCACCTGCTCTCCACCCATCCCTGCTGTGGGCTCCCTGGATGCTGATGTATCGTCTGCCTCTAAGAAGTTGTGAATATGATTCTTAATCTGTGTACTGGATGCTTAATGTTCCAGTCCACATCAGTTGGGGGCCTTGGAGCCTTGGTGAACAGGTCACTTTGTTTTGAGATAAGGTCTCGTAGTGTAGCCCAGACTGACCTTGAACTCAAGATCCTCCTGCCTCAGCCTCCATAGTGCTGAGATCATAGACATGCTCCAAGTGCTCACTGTGAACAGGTAGGTCCTCTGGAAGAGCCGGAAGCACGCTGACCTGCCCAGGTCTCCAGCACCAAAGAGAACCTTTCTCAATAGTATTATGTAATCCTGACTGTCCTGGAATTTAGGTAGAGCAGGCTGGCTCCGTCTTAGAGATACACCTGACTTTGTTCCTGGGAGTGCAGGACTCACGGTATGTTCCACCACACCCAGCATCTTCACTCTTTCTAACTCTAAAGTGAGGTGTTCTTTATATAACACCCTGTATATTATTTAGAAGTAATGAAGATTATTTCATACATAGTTAAATGCAGTGAGGATTTTTTGGGGGGAGGGGGAGGCAGGCTAATGGCCATATTGTATTCCACTAAATAGATGACTTCTGTGGATGAGCCACCCTCCTAATAGTGGACGTTATAATACTGCTTCCTGCATGGACATTGTCAAAGCTGCCCACCCTCCCGGGACACGCTGCCTCTCCTGTAGCAGTTTGGCATTCTACGGTGATCTTCTTTTTTGGAGCCTGGCATCTCAGTTCGGCAGAGCTCCACAACAAACCTGCTGTTGGTGGACACTGCTGGCACCCGTGGAAAAGGACTGCTGTTTGGTGAGGCTGACACATGATGTGCTCAGCCGCCTTGACTAGCACATGCTTCTCAGAGGCCTGCTCATCTTTAAGTCTTGCCAGTGCCTGGGACTGAAGCCACACTGGGCATTGGATTCAGAGAGGTGGAGAGACAGACAGACAGCATCCCTCTTAGCCCGGAGCAGAGTGGCAAGACAAGCTAAAGGTTTCCCCGGTTAGAGTAAATCTGTTGCCATAGGTGTGTTCTTGTTTTCTAGAAAGCTGGGGGAGCAGTCATTCCTTGTGAGGGCTTCCTAACCAGACCTGCTCCTCTGCAGTCGGTCATGGTGACGCCAATGAAGCCTATTTCTCAGCAAAGGCTGATAAGGACAGAAAGACAGCTACTAGACCAATTCCTCTCCAGTCCTCAGTGATTTATTGATTCAGGGTTTTTTTTGAGACAGGGTTTCTCTGTGAAATAATCCTGGCTATCTTTGAACTCACTCTGTAGACCAGGCTGGCCTCAAACTCACAGAGGTCCGCCTGCCTCTGCCTCCTGAATGCTGGGATTAAAGGCGTGTGCCATCACCACCTGGTGATTTTTTTTTTTTTTAAATGTAACCTAATAACCAATTTGTGTTTCTGAATCCACTCCATGCCGAGGAAATCTCTGGCTCATACAGAACCCGGCAAGTTCCACGTTTGCTCAGCCATGCCAGCTAGAATTTGTTAGTGTGAGTGTTTATTACCTTGGTAGAGGAGAAAAATGATGAGGAAAAGTTTCTTTTTCTTTTTTTTTTCTTTTCTTTTCTTTTTTCCTTTCTGAAATAGAATTTTATATTGCCCGGGTTCAGTGCACTGACCACAGATTGACATTCATGTACTTATCAGTTAATAGCTAAATTTAATTTCGAACTCATTATGAGGCCTACCTGATATTACAGGACGCCCCAGCTGTAGGTTGTGGTGTGACCCAGTGGTTACTGCTGTCCTGGGGGAGGGGGACCTCAGCATCGGGTCTTGATGGGTCCCGCCCACACTCTTGTGCGCTCACCACACAGTTCCACTTCCCCTCGGTTACTCCAGCTGCCTAGACTAGCTGCTTTCTCAGCATTTACTCCACCCACCCTTGGGACTCTGATACAGTCCTTAAACCAGGCCAGGAATCCTTACAAAAAAACAACCATGTGTGTAATGACCCTTTTACTGTTTTTCCCATGTAACTGAGCTCAATGAAGCAAGGATGTGCTTGCCTTCCTGCGTTCTCAGCACCACGGTGTGGTTAGCAAGGCAGAGGGCCAGACTGAACTTGTTCTTACCCTGCAGGGGTTATATGCACCCTCAGGGTGGAATTCAGGCTTTTTTAGTCCCCATAGATCACTAGCACTGGAAGAACCCTTGGCAGAGAGTGAGTTCTCTTGAGTATCTTGGAGAAAGTCCCACAGACCTTTCCATGCTCAGCCAGCAAGAACCTCTGATCCCCTGAAACCTCACAGTGCCCTGGAACATAACCTGTCTAGGTGGCTGTCACCTCACTTCAGGCAGTCTGTGCTCTTGCATGGTCTTTGTCTCACTGACTTTGGCTTGCTCTTGCTCTCAGGAATCAATCACAGAAAAGAGGAATGGAGGAACTTTGTCTGTGGTTGCTTGGCAACCCAAGCATATCCCCTCTCTTCTTTTTGCTGTTTAAATTTAGAAAACTCCTGGGGCTGAAAGCAGTTGGGGGTCACCTGTGATCTCTCATAGTCTCTTGGCCTGTCTATTCTTCACATGGAAGGCATCTTGTGCTTCCTTGTTCGCTGTTTTTGAGACTGGGTCTCATGGAGCTCAGACTGACCTCTCACTCTATGTACCTGAGGATGACCTGTAGGCAGAAGTTTCTCCCCTGCCTGTTCCCAAATACCTGGCAGCCACTTCTTAAGTAATTGACTCCGAGGCTTAATATTGCTTATAAATTATACTTATGTTCAGCCAGTAGCTCAGGCTTATTATTAACTAGCTCTTACACTTAAATTAACCCATATTTCTTATCTATGTTTAGCCACATGGCTTGATACCTTTTCTCAAAATGACATTCTCATCTTGCTTCCTCTGTGTCTGGCTGGAGACTCCTGACTCCGCCCTCCTCCTTCCCATTATTCTCAGTTTGGCTTTCCTGCCTAACTTCCTACCCAGCTACCAGCCAATCATCATTTTATTAAACCAATTCAAGTGACAAATCTTTACAGTGTACAAGAGGTTTGTTCCACAGCAATGACCCTGGACTCCTGATTCTTTGCTTTCTCATCCCAAGAGCTGGGATTACAGGCATGTCCCACCACCCCAGTTTACAGAGTGCTGGAGGTTGAGACCCCAACATCGTGTGTGCTAGGCAAGTGTCCTTACCAGCTGAGCCACATTCCTTGTCCAGGAGTTCACACCTCCCACCACCCAGCCACCCTGGGCCTGTGTTGGCCTCATTCTCACAGAGGCAGATGGAAAAGTCAACACAGTCCACTTCTGAGCTATGGGAGTACACTCCAAATTCGGAGTATTTGAGTTCTGTCTTCAGCATAGCTGGAGTATGGAGTCTTGGCCAGTCCCTCCTCACAGGGAACACTGAGGGAGCACCTCCAGTTCACCCACCTCGGGCCCGGCCACACCCCTTCCTCTATGGTCGGTCCTCGGTCAGAGCATGTTAGGTCAGTCGTTTCCTATCCCTTTTAGGGAGGAGTCGAACCAAAGACGCTCTTTGCTTGGCTGGTCTCATGTTCGCCAGGGAGCACAGGTTCTGATACATGGAAACTTCCAGAAGCCAAAGCAGCCCTCCCTCCTTTGACCTTCTGCCTCTCAGAGGAGAAGCCATCTTTACAT